CCTAGTGGATTATTGTCGTCAGGACGACAAGATCCTTTTTAACATTCAATCTTAATACATCTTTTCGATACAAGTAGCCTTAGATACCATAACATATTTTCTAATAGTAACCTAGTCAGCCAATAGTACAGTTCTTCCCGCGATGAGATGAGTAGGCCAATGCATTTCCAATTTTATTCAAGATCTACCGGCACTACTGAATGCATAATAGTTTACTTAACCTTTTTTCGTAAGTGAGTAGGTTTTCAAGACTACCAGCAAATCAGATCTTTGAGTTACTTAAGCTTGTCTACCAAAAATTTACTTCATCCAAGAGTCGACGACAGTTTCCACCTTGCCTAGACGTCATCAGAACATACGACGAGATTGGGATCCGGATCGTGATTTTGTGGATACGTTGTTGCTTTAATAGATGGGTCAGACGTGACATTCAAGGCGAGCCAGACTTATCCCAACTCACATTTATTGTAGGATTAATTATTCACAAAGCAGATGTTTGCTATTTTAACCGAGCAGCTTTCTATGCAATCAGTACTTATCGAAATTAAGTAGCATTGTCGACTGGAATGAAAAATACGTTTATTGCTTAATTGAAAATCTCCTTCTAAAGTTGGATTGGAAGAACATGGCCAGCCTTGATTCTGTATATGTTCTGTGATTCACTGGCACTTGTGGTCGTGAAGTAGGATGAAGTGACAAACATCGCCACGCTGCTCATGAACCGGATCCGAATCCCGCTGGAGATGGTGATGAAAGTCGGTTAAGTGAGTTTGAGACTGTAATCTACCTCCGTCTGGATAATAGAACCTTTTAGTAGATAAGACATGAAGTCTATTTTTGCGGTTTTTTGGAAAAACCTAAAGTTGCCTTAAACGATTGACAAAGTTTTCTGCACGAATTACTGATAGTCTCGAAGCCTGCTCATATCGGAAACGGCCGAGAGGTTCGTGAATGAGGCCACCTTGTGCAGTACAGAAGAGTGAAAGACACTTGATGAACATACTCGGTGGAATGATTTATGAGGCGCTACTCGGTAGCAGTGTTGTTCTTCCGGTTGCCAATGCGTAAAGTATCGGTACTGTCCGTTAGTAATGCGTAGAGACTGGGCACAACTGATGAGGTGAGAAAAAATTAAATGTTGGGCAGGAGAAAGGACAGATGAGTGGAGATATTTAATTGAATATATCAAGAAAATTACGGCTTCATTTGGTGAGTTAGTGTGACGCAAATGTGTTTTTTTGAAGGAAAACTTGGTTGAAAGTAAACTCGTGATTTGGTATTACCGGAAACCGGAATGATGATTGTTGGATTGTGCAACCAATTCTTTGGCTAACCGCTACACCATTCCGATATATATATAAAATATAATAAAATAATATAATACAATAAAAATTTTAATATAATATATATATAATAGAAAAATAAAATAAAATAAAATATCATTTATATATAAATATAAATATATATAAATATATATAAAAAATATAATAATATAATATAATATAATAAAAATATACATCTTATATAAATATAATACAATAATATAAAATATAAAATATAAAATTTAATAATTATATATAATATATAAAAATAATATAATAATATAATAAAATAAAAAAATACATATGATTTATATATAATATAAAAATATAATATATGTTATATGTAAAATATAATAATAATTTCATATATTGTATATATTATATAAAAATAATATAAATATAATACAAAAATATAATATAATATATATATATATTATATTTAAAAATAATATATTAATATAATATAATATACATATACATATACT